CCAGTTCTCTCTGTCCTACCTACAGAGAATACAACAATGTTTATTGTAGGGCACAAATTACCTACCATTTCAAAGAGAAAACAAGAACACATAAACCTTATCAAGTTTATAACTAACTAGAGAATGAAGATAACTCAAGACCTCATAGCAGCAGCTTTACCTGGAAGAGATGTATCCCATCACATCAGGAGGTGGATTACTGCTTTGTGGAGAAAATTATGTTCACACTACCACATTTTGATACATTCTAAAGACCAGCACAAAGATAAAAAATGCATGCCAAATACTCCTAGAAAGGTTAGAGAACAACTGAAAAATTAAACTACTGCAAAGAAACTGATAGAATTTGTTTCAGTACTTGCACTAAAACACAGCTAGCCATGATTCCTTCAATTAGAAGAAATCCCTTTTTGTGTTCATAGCCAAAAAAAAAATAAAATTCAAATAAACCAAACTAAGTACTCTGAAAAATTTCCTTATTTCTATGAGCCTTAAAAAGCAAGTTATATTTTCATATGAAGTCACTGGTTGACATGCACATTTAGAAAATTCTCCTTTATCACTTATTACATCTGAAATGCCTACCAATATGAAGCATGTATGGACCGTGTGAACCTAAGCAGAGTACCAAGAACCGCCACTCCTTATGAAAGTAGAAGGAAAGCTCATTTCTTTTCTTCAGTACATTTCTAAATGCATGAGTGATTTTCCATACATGAATGATTCCTACTTGGTTATCAAATTAGATTCAAGGCAGAAGTCACTCTTCTCTGTAACCAGCAGAGGGAAGGGAAAAAAACCAGCACCAAAACAAAACAAAACACAAACAACCTTCATTATTTTCCTGCTACTGTTTGTGATGTATGGCAATTACGAGGTTAGTGAGACAGAACAACCTTTTGTAGACAATCTTCAGGTCTCTCCATTCGAGGAAACTGCACATTTTCGGTTTGCGGGCTAATACCGTTTGAACAAGTTCCCTTGTGATTTTCTTCTTTTCTTTGTCGGATAATGGGACATACCACTTCTGGAGTCTCAGTTTCCCCTGGCGACTAAAAAGCAACATAAACTGCATCTGTTGAATTACAAGGAGGGAAAAAAAAAAGCATTAATCTCAGTCTCTGAGTTTTTAAAAGATATCTGTGAGAAAAAACAAACAGGAAGGAGGACAGACATCCAAAACCCCTAACAGTATTTCTATAGCACTGGCAGATGTTATACAAGATCTGGAAGTACCAATAATACAAAGGATTCCGCTGAGCAAGGTCAGTCAAGCCAAAGGCAGTAGAAAGCGCACACAAGTTTCAAAAGCAGATGTCAGAACCATCGGGTGGCGAGTGAATACACCCAGATTTCAGACAAGCCACGTCCAGCATTGGCACGGTTGCATTTCCGAAAACGACAGAAAAAACCCAGCACAGCAGTCTCTTCAAATACCCAAACTCATTTTCAATTCACCGGATCAGAGCCTTACAGCAGCAGCAATCTGCACCTAAGATCTTTCCGAAAAGCCTCGGAATACTTTAAAAGGTATTAAACATCCCAGCGGAGAGTCCTACGGCACAGAAAAGCCAAGTCTTTTCCCAGGTTACACAAAAGGAGGAGAGATTAAGTGCTTTCCCTGCGGTCCTATGTTCCAGGTCTCGCTTCCTCCAAAGGAGTGATGTTGCAATTATATTTTAAGAGGAACTCGCAGGGCTGTGTTTTTTTCAGCAGATGTAACATTAAAGGAAATGGGCTTT